GGACAATATATTTTCCTGACAACAAAACCGTTGAATAGCCAGACTACTACTACTCATGGCGAGAGTAGGAGTAGAAACTAGACACAATAAATATGCCATAGACGTGACTGACTGGTTTCAACCTAGAACTACGCACCGGTGTGCAGCAGTTCGAGTCGCTACACCTCACTTAGCAAACAAAGCAAGAAATTAAAAAGAGATACAAAACAGAAACAGTAAGCAGAGATATGAGGCAATAAGAATAGTTATATGGAAGGAGAATAGTTCTATTGGATAGGACAAATCATCACAAAGAGTGAATGCATCTGAGTCAGCCATTCAGAACGATTTTGAGCCATATCACCAATTGTCTCCAGTCATTGATTCCCACCATCCCGAGGACCGCAACCAGCCAGTCACGAAGTCTACATCTCCCTACATGGCTTAAACTGACTGTTATGGATTTCACTGACTAATGAAGCCGTGTTTTGCTTTGGTCACCACTGCTTCTAGCTGTTTTTCAATCTGACCCTATGTCAGCTAACATTGCCCGTCGAGGAAGGCGATGGCTAGGGATGAGTAACACATGTCCTAGCCACCTCAATCGATGTAACTGCAAATCTTCCTAGGTTGGTTTCCTTTCGTTACCTAGCTCTCGACGCCTAACATCAATATTGCTCACCCTATTATACCACTTTACACGGGAGACAGAACGCAGGCACGTATGACCAAAGAGACAGCTAGTTCTATAGACGTGCTGTATAAACACTACAGTAAAATACTTGACAAGATGTCTAATGTCAGGTAGTTGGAAGTTTCAGGCATAAACTGAAAAAACCAACGTAGGATTAAGGAGAGAAGTGCACTAGTTCAAGATATAATACTTTGAGAAAAAATACAGAGAAAAACGATGTCATCGCACTAGACAGACATAGGCCCGGCGAAGAAAATGCGTGATTTCGGCAAAATATAAGGTATGAATAAATCTGCACCACGAAAAACTGAGCGATTTTAGTCTACAAACATGGTAGGAATTGTATGCATCCCAACACTACAGCTTGTCGGATCAAGACGCACAGAGCAGCAGCCATCGTTCCCGCGACACGCACAAGAGTATTTAAGCGCTCAACGACGAGGACATGTACAGAAGCAAGCGGAGTTAGAAAAGGAGATACACTCTCCAGACAAAAAACTCACCAGTGAATCAGAACCTTAGAGCACTTTACCAAGGCTTCACTGAACTAAGAGTGTAACAGGATTCATCTTTAATTTCCTAGTGTTAAGTTTCTGAAGATTATTCACAACGAAAATTGTTCACCATCTGTAATAGACAAACACTACATTAGCTTACGGAAACGCATATAAATCAGGAATTTTATCAATGTTCTGTGAATGAAGCAACGCAGATCTTTACCACCACCCAATAGACACTATTTAACATTGGAACGGCAACGAAGTAAGAACTAAGGTTTTCGAAATCCTACGGTCGGTCAGCATATCTCATAAACGCTTTGAAATCACGTATTGTAAATACGTAGCAGTCACATTTAGGAAACCACTAAGTGCTTGCCATAACTGAAAAGTAACTCATTATTCTTAAAAGTAATCCTCTCGTCAGGACTTAATGTTATCTTCGATGACGAATCCGGCTTTATGGTACTTGCTAAACCGATCACACTAATTAAGTTCGAAAGTCATGATTAGCTCTGAGTGAAATTCAAATGCACTAGCAGAGTAGTTCTGGACTGAAGTGCGTTACTGAACTTCTTGGGATGCAAACCTGAAGGAAAATCTGAGTCTCTACAGAAGTACTGTCTGTCTGTTTTCAACATAGAACTTTGCACCGATGTGCAGCAGTTCAAGTCGCCACACTCCATGCAGCACACAAGGCAAGAGAAGAAATACAAAACAGAGATAGTAGACAGGGATATGGGACAAAGGAAAAGTAATAACGAAGAACAAAAGAGTTTCATTGGAAATCATGAGTCACAAGGAGTGGATGCATCTGCGCTGGCCATTGAGAACGAATTTGGGCCATATCACCAATTGTTTCCAACCATTGGTTTTTCGGTCGGTCGGTTTTCGACATAGAACTTTGCACATATGTGCGGCAGTTCAAGTCGCCACAATCTATGTAGCACGCAAAGCAAGAGAAGAAAGTAGAAGAAATGCATAATATAGACAGTAAACAGAGGTGTGAGACAAAGGAATAGTAATAACGAAGAACAAAAGTTTAATTGGAAATCACAAGGAGTGGATGCATCTGCGCCACTGAGAACGATTTTGAGCCATGTCACCAATTGTTTCCAACCATTGGTTTTTACCATCCCGAGGACCCCAACCAGGAAGTCTACATCTTCCTACGTGGCTTAGATTAACTGTTGTGGATTTCATTGACTGGTGCCATGTTTTCGTTTGACCACCGTTAGCTCTTTTCCAGCCTGACCCTATATCAGCCAATATTGCCCGTCAGTCGAGGAAGGCGATGACTAGGCATACGTAACACATGTCCTAACCATCTCAGTCGATGTAATTTCTCAGTCTCGTCGATTGATTTCCCCTCCTTACCTAGCACTCGACGCCTAACCCCAATATTGCTCACCTTATTACACCACTTCACGCGGGAGATAGAGCGCAGACACCTATGATCAAAGACAGCTATTCTTTTCATGTCTTCTGCTCTCAATAGCCAGGTCTCACAGCCATAAAGGAGGACAGAGCGGACTGATGAGCAGTACACACGCCCTTTGGTCGATAGTCGGATATCACGTCTACGCCAGAGACGGCGTAAACTGGCATATGCGAAACTAGTCCTCTGTATTCGTGCTGAGATTTCGTCAGAGATCAACCCGTTAGGGCTGGTGGTACTACCCAAGTAGGTGAAGCGGTCAACGTGCTCTACCACTTCACTTCCAACAGAAGTACACACTGCAAACGTCCCATTGCCTGATCTATACTGGCGATACGAGGGCTCGGATGGAACTGCGCTTCCTTCTCGTGGTCCTTTAAATTCAAAACCAGAGTGTTATTCCTAAGTCTAGTATTTGCTGAATGCACAATGAACGCCATACGCTTAAACTTCTTGTAAACGGTCACTAGGCAAACACTATGACCTACCTACCAATTTGAGTATGCAGGCGCTAGAAATGTACTTCCCCGATTGAACTCTTCTATATAAGGTAAATTATCCTCAAGAACAACTATTGGAGAAAACTAAATGCAAAATTAAGAATACATGGAGCTCAAAGTTACTGGTAAGAGTGACCTTCCCATTGTAAGCTCAAAAAGTTGGCACAAATAATGGAGAAGAGACTGTATCACACTAATATTCAAACAGAAGACACCTATTGTCAATCCAGATGTCTGTCAGTGGAATGATGCTCGAAGTGATATTTCACTTGAGACTATAACCCAAGACACGCGAAAAACCCTTAAGACGGTTCGAAAATGGGTCGATACCATTTATCACATTACCTGGATCTTAATGTAAGCAACACAACCGAGAAGTCTATACGCACTAGAATCTGAGTCTTCAAGTTGATGAATTCATTACGAAGAAATATGAGCTACCATCCATCACAGCAACACTCTCTTTGTACATAGTATGAGAAGGTTAATATTCTTTTTTCAACTTAAATATTCGCATGGACACTGGCAAAACACTTTACATGGCAACAGTAAGGAATAGACAGCAAAGTCAAATGCCCTTGAGTCAACCAATAAGATGGTTCAGCACTACACATGGATGCTGTTCATAATCTTCGTTGCAAGTGTCACCCAGATGTTTTTATACCAATAATACAACGTCTACGAACTCACATTCATACACTTTACTTTGCTTACATGGGAAAACCCTCTAGAAGTCTGCTCACAGATGGTTGACGCATTTAGGCAGAAAACGGAACTCAAGTGCGACGATTACTAAGCCCCACAGAATACGCTGCTGCTGCTGGATTCAACATAGGACTTGGCACCGAGGTGCAGCAGTTCGAGTTGCCACGTTCCAAAGAGCACACAAAGGTAGACAGGAAAATGAGAGAAGAGAATCAATAGAGTTTAGATAAGTAGAAGAGTGAAACAGAATGAGTAATGGTAGAAAGGAATATGGAAGATTACAGAGACTGAATACATCTGCGTAAGCCATTGACAACGATTTTGAGCCATGTCACCTATTGTCTCCAGCCATTGATTCTTAGAGTCCCGAGGGTGGGCCCCAACCTGGAAGTCTGCATCTCCCTACCTGACTCAGTTTAACTGCCAAGGATTTCATGGATTGATGAGGCCATGTTTTTGTTTGGCCACCACTTACTCTTTTCCAACCTGCACCTATATCAGCTAGTAATGCCTGTCGGGGGAGACGATGGTTAGGCATGCGCAGCACGTGACCTAACCATCTCAATCTATGTAACTTCATAGCCTCTTCGATTGATTTTCCCTCTTTGCCCAACACTCTACGCCTGACGTCAACATTACTTACCTTATTATACCACCTAACGCGAGAAAGAGATCGTAAACATCACAGAATACGAGGAATTTAAAAACACACTAGACAGGTATGAAGCTGATGTGTGACTCGACTGCGTTTTTCCCGATCAGCACGATTTACGAAGTGATGACATGTCACACTGAAGTCGGAGAATCAAAAAGCTCTCATTTAGACTTGCCAGTATCACACGTTTACACAGGCGCTGCTTGGCTCAAACACATGGTAGCTCGGTACATGTTTGACTGCTTGGAAAATTTCATCATGAGGAGAAATCAGTCAGAAACCCATTGGAAAAATGGTTCTCCAACTGGTGTCAGCTCATGAAGAAATCCTCCAATCAATCAGACGAAAATTCCTAGGAAAATCAATACTTGAAAATCAACACACGTTCAACCACGTCTTCCCATTGCCTTTAATGCAGTAAGAAGGATCCAGAAACCCACACAAACTCTTAAAAAGCACAAATTGGAAATGAAAGCTATGTAATTTCAGTAGTTAGTGTACAATGGAAGGGAGACTAAGACAGTGGGGTCGGTCAGTTCTCGAACTTGGCCAATATGTCAGATTCCCGAAACAGAAAGTATTCCTGCAAATATTTTACTGATCTCAAGTTTAACTTACGTTATCTTCCAAAACAACTTTAGTTCCACCATACTCAGGAAGAAAAACTTTGTCACCAACAGTGACACACATGGGGATTATTTCACCTTTCTTAGAAGAAAGTTAATCTAGTTCCAAAAGGTTTACCTCATTCTTAACACCTGGGCCATGAGCAACTACCGTCCCTTCAAGAACTTTGCCCTTTGACTTTTCTGGAAGCATGATGCCACCTTTGCTTTTTGTCTCAGCTTCGAAGCGCTGGACAAGAACGCGGTCAAAGAGAGGAGCGAATTTTCTGAATGCACGAGCAGCCTAGCAGAATAATTGGAAAAACCACTGAACTTACCATCCTTTCTTCACGTGAGTTCTCGAAGCAATTTCCAACGAATCCGTAAGGGTAACTACGCGAATAAAAACAAACACAGTTCAACCTATTAAATGTTCAAGTACGCTTGGAGTGCTCTGGTCTCTCTTTTAAATGAAAGATGTAGGCGTCACCCTCGATGTGTCCATGAAATTATTTCTATTATATAATGCATCTATGAAGAGATTCCATAAACAGAGATTTCTAAGTATTCTACTTCTGATCTGCAGTGGTGATTCGAGATCGTTTATGGATTTTGCTGCCATAAACATTTTCACTACAAACTTAGCCCCATTAAGCTGCATATTTGCAACATATGAGGGCAGTTCACTAGACCTTGCATAAACACTGTCTAACAGTATATCTACATAATCTATAGGAAACGTAATCTGATGCTAATTTGATGGCTTCTTCTTGAAGAACCGCTAGCTGCGGGTACCCGGAAAGATCATCTCAATCAATTTCATGTTTCCTGTACTTAATAAAGTGGCTCTGGCTACTCACTATTTCCAAGCCATTACTGAAAAACCCCCAAGTCATACTGTTTTAAACCTGAGATTTTATTTCATTGTCCTATTCGAATATATTTCAGAAGATTGGTTGCTTTCTTTAACCTTCAGGAAACGTTTTGCTTCTGGTTTATGCCCAATTAACAAATAGATAGCTAAAGTTCAACGGCTTTTTACTATGAGTAAAATATTACAGTCTCTTTGCCTCACTTTCTTAGAAGATAGGATTTGTTTGGACCTACTGCAGGAAAGCTAAATTTCCATTCTGGAGATATCGGAGAATTCTTGCTTCTGCAGGTGTCACAATAACAAGCCCAAGCATTTCTTCAGCCTACAAATCACTTCATTATTATTTATTGTACCCTTAATTTCCGAGTGGAGCATAGGGCTTCAACAACACATCTCCACTTTGTTATATATTTTATATTTTACTATAGCTTGATTCCACACAGTATTTTTGGTACAACTATGAAATTTTCAGCATGTGATATCGGTAGCCCAAATTTATATTTAATGCCATCCTCTTGAGCTGGGTCTACGATTGCCCAAACTCTCTCATCTCTTCCTCCCACGATCTCCTCCATGTTACCCTTACACTGACGACCTACTCGTCACTTCCTATTCAGATTCCACTCGAACGATGGTCTGCATTGCGCCCTATGTCATTCGACGGTCTCCTCAATGTATGCCCGATCCATCTCCACTTTCTCCTACATACTTGTTGAGCGATCACCTCTTGGTTGGTTTTTCCCCAGAGTTTATTGTCACAAATTCTCTCTGGCCGGCAATTTGCTCTTCAATATCGAGCCAGTCAGCCAGCGAAAGCAGCTGTTGACAACAACTCGTAGCTTGTTGGAAATCCTTTTCGTGGCCGGCGCACAGCACAAGTTTCTGACCCGCATAGAAGGACCGACTTAACATTTGTGTTGAAAATGCGAATCGTTTTCCGTATGCTGTGTGTGCAAGATTTCCAAACTGCTTTCAGGGTGATGAAGGCGTATCTTGCCTTTCCGATTCTGACTGGCTTCGACATCTGCATCCTTTCCGCCTGTAATTGGAATTATGCTTCCTAGATAAGTGAAGGAAGTAACTTCTGTCAAACCTCTCCCGTTGACAGTGATTGGTTCTGGTTGTTGTTGTTGAGGTTCGTTGGTTATCTTCATCATCTCCGTCTTCTCTATGTTCACCTGGAGTCCTGTTTTCGCTGCCTCTTCAGCCAGTTTGTTGGTTTTCGCCTGTAAGTTTCCGAGACTGTGTGACATTAGACAAAAATCATCTGCGAAATCTAGATATTCTAGAGTCTTCTTATCGGTCGTCCAGCGTATTCCTGACCCCTCGCTCCTCACAGTGTGATGCATTTTCTAGTCCACCACAATTAGGAGTATCATCAGTGATGATGGGCAGCCTTGTCTTACTCCTGTATGCACTTCAAACGCCTCGCTGAGTTTTCCGTTGTGGATCGCCTGACACGTGGCATTGTCATATAGCCAACTGTTGAATGAGGTTGACAAAGACTTGAGGTACGCCGTAGTGTTGAAGTAGCTTGCAAATTGCTTCGCCGTGAAGGCAGCCTGTCAAAGGCGTTTTCGTAGTCGATGAAGTTGAGGTAGAGGTTTCACTGCCATTCTGTTCTCTGTTCTGTGATGACCACGAGTAGAGTCGCAGTTTGATCAGCACATGACTTGCCTTTCCCGAATCCAGCTTGTTCCAGCTGGCGGAGTTCTGTATCCGGTGCATCTTTTATTCCCGCCAACATGATGCGACTTCGTATTTTACTTGGCGTGGACAAGAGCATTATTCCACGCCAGTCAGTTCTTGCACAGGCATAATTCGCCCTTCTCTGGCAGTTTGACGAAGTATCCCTTCTTCCAATCAGTAGGCGCCTTTCATTCTTTCCAAACTTTTTGCAGTAATGGAATGAGAACACCTGCCGCAATCTCTGGGGCTGTCTTCAGTGCTTCGGGGGGAATTCCGTTTGGTCCTGCTGCTTTCCTGACTGGACTTCAGTGGCTTGGTCGCATTTAGGATTTCTGCTTTCGTTGGAGGAGTGGTGCCCACTGTCGGGCAGTTCTGTACGTGCTGTTGGTGGTATTTCTGGGCGAGTTGCAGGTGACGATCGATTCAAGAGTCCTTTAAAGTGGTCAGCCCACTGTTTTATTTATTTCTCCTCCTTGGTAATCAGATTCCCTCGAAAATATTTCATCGGTTTCATCATCTGGGTCGATCTCTTCCTGGACAGACACCTTGTTATCTGATACAGTGTCCTGATGTCACTTTTCCCTGCGGCCTGCATGTTCTGCTTCAGTTTCCAGTGTGTCGTAGAATTGTCTTTCGTCTTTCTTAGCACTCTTCTTTACTTCCTTATTCAGAGCAGTGTACATTGAACTCAGCTTCTCCTTCTGTTGTCCATCTTTGCAATGAATCATCTTCCCTTTCACCATCCTCCTATCCTCGACTAGCCTCCTGGTAGGTGTCCGTTGACAGTCGTTCCTTATCTTGTCTCTTCCTACCTCCTAGAACAGTTGTACACGTCTCCTTAAATATCGCTTTCAGAGAGTTTCAATGTTCTTCCACACCGTTTTCCTCAGTGTTACCACGTAGTGTCTCCAACTTTGTTCTGATATCTGTAGCGAAGGCATCCCTTGTAGTTTTGTCCTTCAGTTTCTGAATGTTGAACTTGAATTGTGTTTTGTCTCAATTTGATTTCATGGATTTCAGCTTCACCTTGAAGGTTCCTTGGACTGGGGTCTGAGCCTACATCTGTTCCACTTCTCGACTTTGTATCGAGTTGGCTGCGTCTCCACTCCCTTGATATTGACATAAAATTTGTTTGGTTTGTGGTATTTCAGTTAGGCGGACTCTGTGTTGCTTTGTGGAAATCCTTGTGTTTGTATACGCCTCCTCCGACCACCAAATGGTTGAAAGATCAGAAGTCTGCGAATAATTCTCCATTCTCATTCATTTCTACGAGTCAGATCCTCTCGACCCATGATGATTTCTCTTCCTCTATTATCAGGTGCCAGTTTGACTTGCATTCATATCGCCCATGAGGATTTTGATGTCACCATTTGAGATGTTGTCCACCACCATTTTTTAAATATAAGTAAATAAATAAATTTATTCTCATAGTACAGTACATGGGGGACGCCAGTTTACAGGCATCATCAAATTGTTACAGAAATAGAACCATATAATTCAATCACAATTTACAGGCAGTAGCAAGATATGCTTTACATGTTCGCTGGAGATTATACATACACTTGATAAATGTTAATCCCAGTAGTATAAAACAGCCCTTTCACTTATATACAATCATTTCTGTGCACAGTTGGAAAAATCTGCTGGATTGTCAGTGAGTGCAACACGTCAGGAAATACAGAAGCATTGTCTTCGCATTAACAAAAAAACCGGGTCTTTGGTGGATGGATCATGAGTGCCTGGGAAAAAAATAAAGCTTGAAGTCAATTTTCATACATAAATTCGTTGTGTGCAGAATCCTTGAATTATAGTTCATTGATGTGTTATTTTGAAATCAGTGATATGTTTATCTCATTTGATCTGCAATGTCATTGTTGGGAGTAAATATATAAGCTTCAGACACATTAATTAATGGATTTCTACTGCTTGTGGGTATTTTCTTAGCGTGAGGAAGGTTTATGAGTTTCAGCTGTTCCGACAGGAGTTGAGAATATTAACTGCTCAGCAACATTATGAATATAAGTTCATTACATTATCTAAGGAAAGGTGGGTTGCAGTTGGTGAGGGATATATGGTGCCCAGCGAGCGTACATCTGTCCATGTGATGTTGTGGTGAGTTATACCTTTTTCATGTTGTCGGTTTATGTCCATTTTATTCCACTTATTGTGTTGGGTAGTAGTTTTACAAAGGAGATTTCTTGTCTGTTTGAGGATACGTATGTTAACCGTTGATGTTTTATCTAGAATTATAAATATAGGCTAAAAACAACAGGTGTAGTATTGAAGCTTATACATTAAATGGACCTATAATTTCGAAGGCTCTCAGATAGGAACTAGAACTACTATCGTTTGCAAACTCTCGTAGTTTGTCATTAAGCACCTTTTTGAAGGAGGCCAATGTACTTGCTTGACACATTTCCATTGGCAGTTTATTCCATATATGTGCATGCCTAATCAAGCAAAACTTTTGCCTGGTGGCTGCTTTACATTGTTCGATAACTACTGTACCCTTAGTGTGTCTTAGTTTGTAGCCATTGTCATCTGAAAGTCGAGTGCCATTAGTAGAGGTAAAAACTAAGTGGTTTGGAAGCTTATAGTAAAGTGTTAAGTTTAGTCTCAGGCGTCTTAGCCATAGTGTTTCTAGTCCTAGGGTATCACATCTAGTGGAGTAGTTCGCACCATTTTCGGTTCCGAGTAATTTTAACGTGAAGTACCTCTGCACTCCCTCGACTTTCAATTTGTCCTCTATGCGTATACTACTATACATGGATGAACAGT